ACGCAACCTACTGAAATTTTGACCTGAAAAGTTTGGGTCTTATTCCTCTTCTAAGGGTGCGGCTAAGGGTGCAAAAGGATACGTCGGTAATCACGCTGGTATAGTTTTTGAGTTGCTTAATAATCATTATACTTAGTGATTCCATAAACAAAGGCCAAGATCCTGAAGGACGATTGAGAAAGGCAATGCAGTTGCAGAAAAAGAGCCATTTAAACAAAATTGTCAAAATAATTATCACTTTCTCACTAAATTTATTTAAAAATGCAAGCCACCAGAGCTACCTTTTTTTTAAGAAAAGACAAATTAATTTTTTTTTACCTTAATACAGTCAGTCAATAAAGTTTAGGTACAACGAATTTTTTACAATACGGGCAACTATTTTTTACAACTATTCTACAACAAAATCCCAAAAATCAGAGTTCCAAACCTTGTGCAAAACTTAAGACAATTCTGCAAAATTTCATTAAAATAATTCACTTTCTATTTACGCTCTCTAGAAAAAGTTTTTTAACCCATTCAATTTTAGTATAATGAGGTGCAAGTGTGAGGAAGCTAGAACTTACCAAACAACAAAAAAAAATTGCTAAATATCAATGGTAAGTCCTAGCTACCTCAAACTTGCACTTTGTAAAACTAAAATTGAATGGGCTAATAACTGAGTACTTAACTTTTTTCCAAAGAGTGCAAATTGCAATACTTGGATGGAAATTCGCAGAGTTTTCTTTAATTTTGCATAAGGTTTGGAACTCTGATTTTTGGGGTTTTTGGTGTAGAATTAACCATATTTTTATAAAAAAATATGGAAAAATAAAATATTTAAAAAATAGTTGCCGGTATTGTAAAAACTTCACTGTACCTAAACTTTATTGACTGTCTGTATATCTTATTTAAATTAAGTACGACAAAAACTTTCGAAGTACTATAAGCTTAAAAAGAACTGAATTTACTTAAAAATCAATATGCTTAAATTTAGACAAGTAAGACAAAAGTGAACTAATATTTTTACTTTTAAGCAGAACGCACTTTTGTTTTTTACTTACTACTTAAGTTTAATACTACTACTAATGTGGTTTATAAATTTTTAATAAATGCGTTTAAACATTTATGATTGTATTGTCGTTCCTTCAACCGATCGTATTTAATATAGAAGGGAAATGTTTCGACAAGCCTGCAGAGGGGATGCAGAACGAACTAGATCTCATCTGTCGAATTTGGAACTGGTTCGAAACTATAGAAAAAGGGATGCAAAACGAACTAGATCTTATCTGTCGAATTTAGAACTGGTTCTGAACTAGAGCCAAAGGGATGCAATGGGGGACAATTGACACTTCGCCAGTCGCTAACATGCAAGAATTAACGCGTACTAGTCATGGTTCCAAACGCACTAGAACCGAACCCGTTCGGCTCTAGTTCGTTTCCCTACAGGGGTGCTTTCATGCCGCGTGCCGCGTGCCGCGCGGTCTCGCAGCGAGCGTGGTGCAACCAGAGAACGGGGAAAAAAATTCAACTTATTTATATACAAAGCATAGATTATTTAGTACAATATTTTTTAAAGTTGTGTACATAAAAATGTACCTATATAACATGCATATAGTAGTAAAGGAGAAATATCGATGTGCTATCGATAGTAACGATGGTTTCATTTTGCTGCCACTATCGATTTTTTCTAACCACTAGCTTGGTACTCGGTAATCATGATAGAGGCTGAGAGGTAGCCCGCATGAACGAACGACACAAGATCACGCAAGAAAAAGAAAATTTAAAAAGTCGATTTTTTGAGCGGGTTCTACGCCATCTTGTTTCGCTGTAAAACGTAAACGAAAAGTAAACAAAGCAAAGAAAACAACGAAAACTTAAATTAACCAAAATTGTTGTCCGCCACTTTAAACACCCAATTTAGATAAAATTATTCATAAAAATCCTTTAAAACGTGTTGTTCTGTTGATTAAACTCTTCTTTAGTTAAAGAAAAGTGTAAAATTGTGGTGCTTGTGTTGTAAACAAAAGCTTAGCTGACGAGCCCGCTTCCACGAATTTTTTCTCCAAACCAATTACAAATACAACGTCACGTTCTCGCGTGATCTTGTATTTTTGGTTCATGAGCAGCCTGAACATTTTTGAAGTTTGCTAATACCAAAGAAAACTTGTCGTTCACATGCGAATGCTTTGCGTACACATACAGTTGAGTGTGAGCTTGTTTTATGCTTTTTTTAAATTTTTTTTACTTTTTTATAGAAGTATATACGGTTGCCAGACGTACTGATTTTGTCAGTACAGTACTGATTTTTCAACTCTTGTACTGATTTTATTCATTTCTTCAATCAGTACGCTAAAGTCCTGATTTTTCAAAATTTGTAATGATTTGTACTAAATTTTCAATTCAAACAAAATACTTTAGGATTTTCTTAAGGTTTTTACATCACGTTGGAACTTCTTTAAACTGTACTGTAAAACGTAAGAAGAAAATAATTTAATTATAGTTGACATGTTTTAGATAATGTTTGATATGTCCAAGAAATTAATACAACAAAAAGATCAATCGTATTATGGGCATATCGCATGATCGTTACATTCCGGTTGCAATAATATAATTGAGCTTAAATTATTAAAAAGAAGGCTACCTTTTTTTGTCGGGTGTTAGTTATCTCGAAAATAACTTTCAGTTTAATAACAACAAATATGAATATTCGAATGGCTTTTGCCTATAACTTAAGATTTTTTTTTGCACAATTTACTGATATGTATTGTAAAAGAGTTTTGCATACAAGACATAGAGTTAGATAACGAAACGATGTTTAACCCGCAGTTCCTGTTAACCAGACATTAAGAAATTGGCCTAAAGGCCGGTTGTGCANGTTAGATAACGAAACGATGTTTAACCCGCAGTTCCTGTTAACCAGACATTGAGAAATTGGCCTAAAGGCCGGTTGTTCAATGTTTGCATGCACATAACATTTGATTGATAAAGCAGTCGTTGTATTTAACCTGAGCTTCTACCTCCGATTTGTGCTAACCACTCATTGAACAACCGGCCCTAAGTGTCAGTGTTGTTATTAAACACTTCTACAAATTTTGACTTTTTTGTTACCATCTGAGTAAACCACATCGTTTATTGTAGATTTGTTGCTGCTTAATCCAAATGTGGCCGCAGAGTTGCTCTTGTACGTCAGGATTTTGAGATATCCCAACCTGAAAGTCCCAAAAACACTGTTTGTTTATTTTTACTTAGGGCATCATTTAGTACTACTTTTTCCATTTAATACCGAAGTTCTGCAAACTAAAACTGGTATTTCTCGAGAAAGTAAAATCGAATACCAACAAACGAAAATTTATTTTAAAGGAAAAGAAGAGTACTAGATGGTGCCTTTAGTAGAAATGAGCAAACAAATTTGTTGTTTTCATAACATAACCGTGCTTTTTGGCTCTTTGAGCTTAGGATATCTCAAAACTCTGAGACCAGATTTGGATTAAGCACCCAAAAAACTACAAGACACGGTGCGTTTCTCTCCGGTGGTAAAAATTTGTTGAACTGTGTTATTAAGTAGTGGTCTAAAACTATCGATGGCACCATCGATACTGTTGGGCCCTCAGCCCGCTCATTGAGCACAATTCACCCGCACGTATAAAAACTACCACTCGCTTACCTGGAACCTCGCGTCTTCCGACTTCCTCTGCTCTTAATGGTCGCCAGTAATACAGCCTCTTTGCGGCTGTCTTTAGAACGCAAAAACTATTCACAAATGCAAGTTATTGTTATATTCCCGCGCGGTAACTACTTGCGCTTAAATTAAACACGTTTCGTTTCTCTTGAAGAGATTAACAACGAATTTTATTAGTTTTTTTATGTAAGAAATTGACTAGCACAAATTTTTCGTGACCGATTGTCTAGAAGGCGTATATAGAATTGAATTAACGTTCGCTTTTTCACTCGGTTTTATGTACCTGTGGAACGTATGTTCCAACAGGGCTATCAACATTACGACGGCGCTGAATAGTGCTGCCGTATTGTTAGCGATGCCATTACAATACTATCAATGGTTTTTGACTATCGTACCACCATCGATAGTTTTCAATACTACCGATAGTTTTTGATAGTTTTTGTTTTCCTTACATTATTGTTTTATCGCTTATTGTTACTTTGCATTTGGCACATTTGACACAGCCTGGCAGCACCTTTTAATAAAAGATATTTCGGAAGCGTACATTTACCAGCATTTTCTTGTTTCAGCGGGTGTTTTTATAAGTAAAAAATATAGAAAGTTTCGAGAAGAGAACTGAAAAGTTAAATATCTGATATTTAATGAAGCTCTAAATAAATCAAATTATTTTAAAAGCAACGACTCCTTATGATTCGCATGATTTTTTTCTTTGCTTTAATCGTGCAAAATATTTTAATAAAAGTTTTTAAAAATTCTTGAAGAAAATGGCTATAAGAGTTTTTCCCATCCAGTAAAATTTCTAAAAATAAACTTAGCAAACTTCCGCTCTAAACTTCCACTCTAAGCTTGCGATTTACTGATTTTGTAAGAAATATTTTTTACAAATATTCTAAGCGCAATATAAAGCTAAATTTTAATTTTAAAAAATTATCGAAAACTATTGATAGTTATCGATGGTTTGTAAAGAACTACCGCTACTATCGATAGTTTCAGACCACTAGTATTAAGCAGGGTGGAAAAGTTTTCCATCTGGACCGATAGAATAAAAAATCATATCAAATATCAAATCAATCATGCAAGTCCCTTACAGCCATTTTCAACATGTCTGGTTAACACTAACTCCCCGTTAAACATCGTTATCGAAATAACATTGAGTGGGTAACTTCGAATAAATATTTAACGGGGGATTATTGTTAATCAGACATGGTGAAAACGGCCTACCATTATATTTGGTCTTCTTGAACAAAACATGCGTTAGTTGCGCAGTGTTAAATCATCATATAGCAATTGTATAATACAGCGATTTTTTCGAGAAAGATAATGGCAAGATTGTCAAACTTACAGTTTCGGACCCTGCTGCAGTAACAAGTTCTTGTAACGCACGCACTGACAATGCCTGCTCGATTACGAAAACGCATTGTGATAGATCAGGTGGCACATTTTTGTCGGCGATATTCTCCAAAAAGCAGTGCCGGTTACCAAATCCTTCAGCTGCTAGACAAACACGTTCTCCCGTTGCTGTACATGAGAGGCAAACCATATCTTCCTGTGAACGATGACAATAAATTTTATAGTTATAGTGTACTTAGGCAAAATGGACGAATTAAAAAGCTTTCACACAGTTATACAATGATTATGTCATTTTAACATAACTGTACCAATCGGTACCCTGACTTGATCCCAAGAGGTATAATCCCAATTTTGAATTTTGGGATAATGTCCCTTGTTACACGGGGGGAAATAATGCATAGTAAAAATGAATACTTTATATTTGATTATCGTTTAAAAATGTTTACCTGACGATAGCGCTTTATTAAAGATTATCGCAAGAGGAATCGCTAAGGCCGGACAGTTTTTAAATAAGATAGCCGACATCCCGTCTACGTCTGTTTGCGAAGAAGGTTTAATAGAAAGCATCCCCTTTATAATGTCATCCGATGAAATAAAAAGAGCCCCAAAGTTGAGAATAGAAGATATTTCAGAAGAGAAGTTAGGGAATTGCCCGTCATCAGCAATGTAATTTGACATAAAAAAGTCAGCAAACAAATTAGCTGCTTCAACAGGAGTACTAGCAAATTTATCGTCGAGCATTACCGAAGTAGGTATACTTGCGCATGATTTTTTGGATTTGACAAAGTTCCAAAATGATTTCGGATTAGCTTTAATGTTCCCTTCGGTGCTACGAATATAGTTTTTGTAGAGGAGATTATTTAATGATTTAAATTCCTTATGATAACGCTGGTATTTTACAAAGAAATAATGATTTTTTGATGATTTAAATTTTTTTAGATAACTATTTTTGAGATTTTTTAGTTTCTTCAGGTCTTTGTTGCACCAGGGTGATTTNTAGGTTCGTTCGCGTAGCTGTTAATTGTTCATGTTTAACCAAAACTTACAAGTTTTTGCGTTCGCGTACGCAAAAAACTTGCAAAGTAGGGGAAATTGAGAGAGCAAAGTGACATTTCATTTTGAGGGGAAGCTGCTGGTTTCTGCTGGAAAAATTTTTGCCAACAGCAATTTGCCAACAGGAAAACAGCTGGTTGGCATTTACGCAAATCACAAAATTGAATTTGATGGTTTGGAAGTTAAAAATTACAAGACTGATTAAACTTGTAAGAAATAAGTAGTTATTTGTTTAATCAATAAACTGTGTCAATATAACACTTTGTGATGACTTTTCGTACGTTTTAAATTTCACACTTTTGAATGTAAACAAAAATTATATCAGCTGTTCGTCTAACTTGCAAGTTTCTGCAAATTTTCTGTTCGCGTACTATTTGGGATATTTTTCTCTTGTGAGAGAACAGATGACATTTCGCCGGAATTTGGCAGTTGGTTGGTTTTCACTGGAGATTTTAAACGAACGCACCTATTATCAGCAGCCGAAGTACCAATGGCATGCGCAGCAACCGATGGGTTATCAGCAGCCAAAGAAGTATTGCGAGGAGACAGCGTCACAGTTTTGTTGACTGTGCACATGCTTGGAGAGCATATGCCTAATGGGTTAGCAGAGCACGCAGTAACAAGGTCGGCAGTGAGAGCGTTAGTTATAATGACACCAACAGAAGAAGCAGCAGAAGTTGAAGAATTAACGTTCAAGGGCGACTTATTAAGGTCAGCGACCCTAGCTTTTGAACGTGTAATAATCAAATTGTTATTATCAGCTGTATCATTACTAGGCGAAATGTTGCTAGCAGCATTCTTGATAGGAACGTGTGATATATTCGAATTTTTTGGATATTCTGGATTATGCAGGTTGTAATGTCCTCCAAAAGCAGTTATATTTCCTTTAGTGAACACAAGGCATTACTAATCTTAGACAAGCAGGACGAAATAGATACACAGCTGCAGGTGTCACATCTGAATATTAGATTTTTATTAGATTTGATTACTTTGAGGCAAGCGGAATTTAGTTTTGCACATTTTAAATGAAAGTTCTGCGAACAAAGTCCACAAGTAATAAAATCACCGCTCGCACACAGCGAGTTACAATTGGAATGCAGTATAAAACAGTAAATTTGTACGGGAGGAACCATGTCCCCTTTTCGAATAACGCAATTTTTTCTCCATGAGTATGGAATTAATTTTGTGTACACATCTCAGTGCCAAGTTCCAGTCCTCTGCAATAAACACCTCCAGAGATATGCAGCATAGAAAAATCAATTTGCATAGAAGTTGCCACACCACCTTTTCCAATAACTCTAATTTTTCACCATAAGTATGGTATTACTTTCACATACATATGTATTTCCATACCAGCTTGAGTACTTTACCCCAAACATTTGAAGAGATATACAATATGAAACTTTCAGTCAGTATGGTAGGTGCTACGCCTCATTTCCAAAAACGTCCATTTTTCTCCGTGAATATGAACATCATTTCACAGTGTTGGCAAACTGTTAATCTGATTAACGATTAAAAATTAACGATTAAAATGTTAATCGCGTTTGACGATTAAAATTAATTAGTCGGAATCAACTGTACGATTAAGGATTACATTTTTTTTAATCGTTAATCGCTGGTTGCGATTACGTTTAATTAATTTTAAACATTAATCGTTAATCCAATTAAAAATAAAATCTGATTAAGTTGTCTAGTTTGTCCGAATTTGAAACCAAACACCAGTTATAGTAATTATTTTGTGTTTTACGCTTATAAAAAGCACACAATATATAAAAAAATTCTTATTAGTAATACATAAACAGGGAACTTTTACAAACTCAGTTTGTAAAACGTTTGTTGGTATAGATCTTAATGAAAATGCACACCAAATTGCTCAGATTGATGACGAAACCTGACTTAGCCATACCGGATTAACTTGCTTTGTGTGCACAGGGAAATTCCAGCATAACTTAATTAATCACCAAACCTACTTGATCAAATTAAGAGTTAATGATTAAAAATTACTTTTTTAATCACGGTTACGATTAACTGTTTATTCAGATTAAAATTAATCATGATTAACTGTAATCAGATTGAATTTAATCGAATTAACTAACTGATTAAAACATCAATCGATTAATGCCAACATTGATTTCGCATACATATCACTATACAAAGTTCCAGTTCTCTCCCACAAATACTTCCAGAGATATGTATGTAATACGTGCGCGATGTGTTTGTTTTCCAATTGTAACTCGCTGTGTGCGAGCGGTGATTTTATTACTTGTGGACTTTGTTCGCAGAACTTTCATTTAAAATGTGCAAAACTAAATTCCGCTTGCCTCAAAGTTCAATCTAATAAATCTAATATTCAGATGTGACACCTGCAGCTGTGTATCTATTTCGTCCTGCTTGTCTAAGATTAGTAATGCCTTGTGTTCACTAAAAGAAATATAAACTGCTTTTGGAGGACATTCCAACCTGCATAATCCAGAATATCCAAAAAATTCGTTACATCCTATCAAATGCTTGCACATCCGATTACAGCATATACTTTAACAGTAAAAGGTGCTGCCTTATACCCGAACTAATCATTCTCTTTTCTGCTGGTGCTTACTAAGCTCTCCTGCCGACTTGTACGTGTCTGTACCATACATATGCCTCGCACGTGCAACAAGTGGCGCATGGTACCTACTGTGCCGGACATTGTGATATAACTGTTTACATACAAGAAATTCCAAAGTAATCGTAATGTTAATTTGCATGTGAAGATGGTAAAACTTAAATGCGGGAATGGCGATCAGATCAGTGCTAGATCAAGGTAGCGCACGCTTACTAGCACGTCAAGCCGGCAGTTATTAATTCAACATTCACAATATTTTGCTTCTCCAGCTCCATAGAAGTACATCATCCGCTGGGTGCTAGTTCGTGGAATTGCAAGCAAATGCCTAAAGTTGAATAGCTAAGCAGGCAGATGCACTAAATGTTCTATTCTCTAATAGTATGATATTTCGCATTGCATACCGTTTCTGTAATAACTTGGCGTTTCATCGTCTTCTTGTCTATTTTGTACGGACACAATTGAGACGGGAATTGTTCTATATCTGCTCTCCAAGCATGTGCACAGTCAACAAAACTGTGACGCTGTCTCCTCGCAATACTTCTTTGGCTGCTGATAACCCATCGGTTGCTGCGATGCCATTGGTACTTCGGCTCTGATAATAGGTGCGTTCGTTTAAAATCTCCAGTGAAAACCAACCAACTGCCAAATTCCGGCGAAATGTCATCTGTTCTCTCACAAGAGAAAAATATCCCAAATAGTACGCGAACAGAAAATTTGCAGAAACTTGCAAGTTAGACGAACAGCTGATATAATTTTTGTTTACATTCAAAAGTGTAAATTTAAAACGTACGAAAAGTCATCACAAAGTGTTATATTGACACAGTTTATTGATTAAACAAATAACTACTTATTTCTTACAAGTTTAATCAGTCGCATCTTGTAATTTTTAACTTCCAAACCATCAAATTCAATTTTGTGATTTGCGTAAATGCCAACCAGCTGTTTTTGATCAGCTGTTTTCCTGTTGGCAAATTGCTGTTGGCAAAAATTTTTCCAGCAGAAACCAGCAGCTTCCCCTCAAAATGAAATGTCACTTTGCTCTCTCAATTTCCTACTTCTTCTGAGCACTTATTTTGGTAAACATGAACAATTAACAGCTACGCGAACGCAACTAATGATAATCGCTCGGCAACCAATGATGAATCAACAGAGATTGGTGACAAAAACTCAAATAACAATGCTGCGAGGACTGAAGTCAAAACCAGAAGGCGAAAGAAGGCTTTGGTTGTTGTGGGCTCAAATGATAGCACTGAGCTGGGTGTCGCTGTCCGCAATAAATGGTTACACCTATCATCGTTTGAGCTGAAAGTTAGCGCTGAAGACATAAAGAAATATGTAGCTAAACATGCTGGTATTGATGCTGATTCTCTCTCTTGCTACATGTTGGTTAAAAAGGATGACCCAGTAGACAAACACAAGCGAGTCAATTTCAAACTGGGCGTCTCATCGGTAAATTTTCAGAAGCTATTAAGATCGTCACTATGGCCAGCTAATGTAAGAGTTAGACCATTTCGTTTTTTTCAAAAGCAATATTAACTTTT